TATCTCACACACACACACACACACACACATATATATATATATATATATATATATATATATATATATATATATAGATGTGGACATTGAATGGCTTTCCTGAGGTAAATATAATGTTGCATCAGCATGACATATTGTTTACAAGCTGTTTTATTGATGTCTTTTAATGGTTGGAACAGAGATTCAACATACCTGAACTGAACCTTGAACTGAAACCAGATTTCAGACACAATTTTGTATTAAAATGACAGAATTTGAAAGCTGAGACTTTATTTCTAATCAAAAGTAACAAAGCACAAAGCCCATTCAGATCATTGAATTGGAGACATGCTACACATAATGTTTAGAAAGGTTTTGCTTATCTATTACCTGAAAACCGCAAAGACTAAAAGATTGTTCTTGAGATTTAATATTTGATATTGGTTCATCAAATAGAAGATCGATTAAAATAAAGTAATGTCAACCCTAGCTAGAGTTTACTGCAAAACACCATAAGCGGCTCACGTGTAAATGAGCACAGTGATGCATTGCATCAGAATAAATTGCAGGCTTTTGCTATTTGAAAATCACACTAAGCTATTTTTAGGTTTGGTTGCCAAAAAAAAAAAGAGAATTCCTGCTTTTACTCAGTTTTGACATGGTTTAATTATTTGTCTTCCAGATTTTTATCAGTGCTTTGTCATTCTACAAACACTTCAGGGATAGCCACACATGCACAAACAGAGAAATGGAGTAAACCAGACAAGATGGTGAAAATACAGGGCACGCATCCATACGAAGGACGTCTGTTCAAATCGGTGAGTGCTGATCTCCTTCAGACGCATTTCTGTGTGTTTATCTGATTGTGAGTTCTGTGTGTTTTCTGCTGGTAATGAGAAATGCCTTTTTCTCTCACGGTAGGGTGTGCAGTCTGAGCTGATCATTCCTACAGAGCTGACTGTGAGTTTCAGAGCAGATAAAGGCCCCGAGGCTGTGATGAGAGCTCCGCTTGTCATTTACACGGACACTGCTGACCAGCAAACTGCAGACACACTGAAGAGTACCATTCTCTAATATTGTTCACTTACACATAAACAATTAGCTTACTGAGTTGTTATTCATTTTAGAATGAGCACATGATACCTTCGTGTTGTTCCAAAGCTATGTGAATATCCTCCATCAGTAGAACACAGAAGACTTTTTTCCATTCAGTGATCAATAATCACAAAGAAATGAGTGCCTTAAAAATGCTTCATTTAACCAATGCATTAAAAAATGTACCTTTCTGCTGTCGCTCACAGATCGTTTCCATATTGGTGCACATTCAAACCTTTTGCACCAAGAGCCAGATTCATGAAAAATTATTAAGGAAAATCATCTGAAAAGCTGCTCTCTTTTTTCTTAATATTGAATTTGAATTCCTGAAAAGAATGCTGAATTCCATAAAAATCATTGTAAATAACTTGTCTTAAATCCCCAAAGAGATGACATCTAATGAATTTGTGGGGTTGTTTGCAATATTAAACAATAATGCTAGGTACATACAATGCATATTGCTATAACTAGGGATATGCAAATATTTTGCAATGATTGATAATGTAAACAATGATTGATTATGATGATGTGTAACTTGTAGTTAAATAGGGACCTGGTTTTTAATGTTGCAATTGCGACAGCATTCAGCACCTATGAGAGTGTCGATGCACAGGACATAACCAGCAGCATGGACACACACAGATACAGAACGCATTCACTCATTCATAGTGAATTCATAACCAGTTCAGCTGCAACCTTAAAGAGATAGTTCACCCAAAAATGAAACTCACCCTCATGTGGTTCCAATCCTGTAAGACTCTTTCACAGTCCTCATCTGGTGAATGGCACAGTGAGTGTATTAGACAGAGCAAACATGCTTTCCACTGGGCTGAATAAAGCCTGCTTGTTGTATACTGTTTTAAGGCATGAAAAGCAGAGATGTGTTTGCATTGGTTTGTTTCTCTTTTCGCTGCAGATGAGGCGGTGGATAAAGCTGCGCACCCCATCAAGCGTGTCCGCACAAGGCCTCTCAGCTCATCTCATATCATGCAGGACTCGGAGAACTGGAAGCCGTACGCCGGTATGTGCGGGACTAAACGTTGCAGGACAAGACCTCTCATGGACCGAACTCAGCGCAAAGAAGTACACAACAGAAAGGAGCGCGATCGCAGGTGGGCTCTGCAGACTTACTGTTTAAGCTGTACCGCTCACTGTGCAGAGATTACATGAAGCATGTTTCCGGTTGACCTCAGGAGAAGGATCCGTCTGTGCTGTGACGAGTTAAACCTGCTGGTGCCGTTCTGTTACGCTGACACCGATAAAGCCACCACACTGCAGTGGACCACGGCCTTCCTCAAATACATCCAGGAAATACACGGAGACCGACTCAAGCAGGTTCTCCGTTTTCATAGTCATACAATATCAGGGATTTTTGTTTGTCGCTTTGCATTTTAGTTTCCATTTATCAAAATGTAATTTTTTTAATTTGATGCATCGATTCTAAAGGAGGCTCAGATATCTCCAGTTTACTTTTTTAAACAGAAGGCTGCAAAAAGTCTTCCATTTTCTTAAATAGTGTAGAAAAGTCTTATTTGAAGACTGGCGGCTCGTGGGTTTTAAAATAGAGGAGGCACACTAATTGTATTGGTCTGGGATCCCTGCCGATTATTATTATTATTTGCTTAACCACTTTAAAATGGCTTTTTGGTTGCTTTTAGTCAGAAAACGTAAAGAAAACGACATACATACAGCAAGATAATATAATTTCACTTACCTGGCCTATCACTTGAAGCAAACATCCATCCCTTCTTAAAAGTCTGTGTTAAAAGAGAGCTGCCTGTTGCGCCATTTAATTAAGCGACTGCTGTAGCCTATATCCAGCTTAGGCTGTTTTCTCTAAATTTGTAAATATACTGTTTGAATGACAGCTTGGTAAATCTGTTGGCAATCAAATATTCAATATCGCTACTCATCATAAGTACTTGGTACATTATCAGCGCAGCGGAAGACGTTCAAACTAATATCACGTAATTTACGTCTCTATGCTGATTGGTTGATATATCAGAAGGGAGGCTAGCCTCCCTGGCGAGGGTTCTTTTCGCAACGCTCCTCAGCGCTGAAAGTGAACACTCGAAGACATGAACTGAAAAATTTTATTAACATTATTAACATTAAATCGTCCTCCTCCCATTTTCACCTCATAATTATGGGGAAGCTGTGCCTCCCCCGACGAGCCACCACTGTTTGAAGACGCTTCTAATGAGGTGGCTTTAAAATGCAGTCTTAAGCACCAGAAACAGATTACAAAGTGCGGCTGAACGCATCTGAAGTATTATGGCAATTACTTCGATCGATACAAACCATGAAGCGCTCTAAGAGTGATAGATACAGAGCGCTGAGTGTATGGAGTGAGGAAACTTCCTGAAGTACTCTGACCATCATTACTCATAAATCCACTCTGTTTCAGGATTTCCAGAGCACTTTCTGTGGCAAGACTGGACTGCGGTTGAAGCCTAGCTGTGTTTCAGTGGCACATCTCCTCGAACCCTATAAAAACACGACAGAGCCTGTGGACTCATCCTCGCACAGCTGACTTCCTGTTCTCTGCTGCAGCGTTGTGAATGTGTGCCTGTAGTTTGACATGAATGTTTTCCGCGTGGGTTTATTGCATGATGCTAGTTCCTCTCTTCCACTAGCCCGTGTCCAGAAGACCCTGAGCGTTTGTTGTCTTAGACCAGCTCGAGTGTAGACCGAGGCTCAACCCACTGTTCATTTTATTTCAAACCGTCACGTCTGCAGAGCAAACCCTACTGTAATATAGTTCACACATTTAGAGAAGTTGTGCTGTGTATTTTTGTTTGTGTTTTTATGCCTTGTTGGTTTGAAAGGCATGACCGTTTGTTGTCTCAATATATGTTATTTTACATTTAATGTATTTATTAGTGTACTAATGAACGTTCAGATAAATACTTTACTGAAAAGTGGCTTTATTCAGTTTTTCTTACAATACCATGCTGTAGAAACTCACTGTACACACAACAGTAACTCAGAAATAATAAATAGTATTTAAAGTCATATTTAATAGTTTTACAGCACCATTATCTAGTGGATAAAAGTTGATAAAGCCCACAGATGGCCAACGACATATTTTACAGTAAGTGTGTCTGAAGCATCGATGCTTGAAGTTTGTTCCTCAAACAGTGACTTTCAGTGTTAAACATTTAGAAACTAAATGTAAACGTAAGAATAAAATGGCAAAGAAAATCAATTTGCAGTAATACATCCAATATTTGGTTTCATTTCTTGATGCCTCAAACAAGCCTCCAGTGTTGTTTGTTTTTGCTGTTGTCGAGGTCAGGTTTTGAGGCACCCCCATGAGGCTCAAAGTTGTACTCCATTACACTTTTAAAGGGTGCTGTACAAGAAGACTTCTAATACAAGGACTGAATTATTGCGTTCACATCAGCTAGTTTCACGGCGCGATGCATTAGTCTTTTGCTGTATGTACACATGTTGGGGTTCACAGCTGCTCCGCTCTGATGCTCAGTGTTTGTTTGGCTCTGACACCTCTTCAGTTGCGTTTCCTGCTGGTTCTCCTGTTAATGGTTCTTGGGGTTGGAGGACTTCCCGTGAACTGCGGCTCCTTGGCACGCTGAAGTGTCACAGATGCCGGGTGATCCCTGGTGACCCGGTCTGCCGGCTCTCCCTGCTTCTCCTGGCTCTCCTGGATCTCCAGGCGCTCCGTCACGGCCGTCTTTGACGATGCCATGCACGCCGGGCAGACCTGGAGGCCACGAGACGAAGAATCACATTGATGTACGACAGAAAGAAATCAGCTTTAGCTGAAGGGGAATAGATGTGTTGTGATTGTCTACGTAGCCTGACAGATCCAGTGCGGTTACATATCATCAGAGCTGGGTAGATTACTTACGTTTGTAAACCGTTACTGATTCCAAATTATGCTAATTAAATTGTAGTTAGTAACGTAATCCACTGCAGTACACATTTTAGGTAATATAATCAGACCACTTTTGACATAACTTATCACATTGATTTAAACATACAAAGAGTAAGAAAATATATTCCAACATGAAGTGCATTAAACATTACATTACTTCAAGGTTTCCCAAACGGGTTCGTGAATAAACTGCAGGGGGTTTGTGAGTTTAATGAAAAGCTAATAATTAATTACACTGAACAAAATTATAAACGCAACACTTTTGTTTTTGCCCCCATTTTTCATGAACTCAAAGATCTAACTTTTTCTATGTACACAAAAGGCCTATTTCTCTCAAATATTGTTCACAAATCTGTCTAAATCTGTGTTAGTGAGCACTTCTCCTTTGCCGAGATAATCCATCCACCTCACAGGTGTATCAAGATGCTGATTAGACAGCATGATTATTGCACAGGTGTGCCTTAGGCTGGCCACAATAAAAGGCCACTCTAAAA